GGGGGGGGGGGGGGGGGGGGGGTTGATCCACGATCCACCTGGATACACGCTCCACCTGGCGCAGGATTGGTACTTCATATCTACTCTCACCCAGCGTGACCGAAAATATTCAAAAATTTTTGAAACTTAAATAAATGGCTAGGAATTTGCTAGTTGATACCTATTTTTGGTCCCTTTACTGGCTAACACTGTACACTTTTCTAAAGAGTCTTTTGATTGATTGAAAAACTTGGCGGGAAAGGATTCAACGGCATTGTTAAACAAATAAGTTTGGTGGCCGCGATAAGGCGCGTCTCAATCTAAGCATAGTAGTTTTTCCCCACTGACAATAATTTCTCCATTTGCTACATCACCTACCTGGATGTAGAGAATCTAAGTATTCATTCATCAGAAGCTGAACTTTTTCGCGATAACAGTTAATGAGTTTGTTGTGGAATTTGGACGTAGGTTCAAACCAAATGAATATTACGTGCTCCTGGAAAAAATGAAGGTTTTGTTAGGTTAATACTGCGGTCGACACTCATAGTAGAAGGCTTTATGTTTTGTAGTATTTCCACCTGAAATAGGCCTGTGCTAAGTTTGATAAACACATTATATTGAGGTCTAGGTTGGGTACAAACAACACCATACAAGGCATGGCGAACAATATACGTTTGTACCCAAGAATGACCACACTGCACCAGGATTGCTATCTGAGGAAAGGTTCAGGGTGAGTTGAATACAGCTGATCATCATGTGAGAATATGTTTCCACAAAAGAGTACTCTCTTGGTTTCCATGATGAACAAAAGATGCTTGTAAACAAGATAGAGAATTTTTTTTGGAAATTATTCAGATAGAAACATAAAATAAAATATTTGCTTTATATATGCACAGTAAGTTGACGGTGCCATATTGTTTCAAGCATGCGATAAAATAGACGCCATCCCTCTCTACCATGCTCGTATTTTGACTCACTAGGCATTTCAGTTTTGTTTCAAGAACACTTCGAAGTTTATAAACACAGATAGGAAATATTATAGTCAATTATTTGGTAGTCGATAATACCATGATAATACTGACTTACCAAATAACGAATGACTAAATCCTTTGCATTCAGTTCAATGTGTTCCAAGACTTGGTCACGTGGTAAGCCTTCAACCTCAGGCAAATCTTCTGTAAATATCTAAAACACGAGAGACTTTTCAACTTCCACCATTAAGAAAAATATCACTTCAGGCTACCTATGCATTGAACATTCTAATCTTCGCCATTTTGCCTTCCCCCCTTGGTCTCGAAGACGTGATGTACTATAATTATGACAATGTGTGTCACTGATTTTGTATGGATGAGGAAAAGAATCTTATGACATATCTTGCGCCAATCCCGAAACGATACTGTGCGGACGTAAAACTCCCAGGTTTCCAAATACCGTAGATGAGGCGTGGATGGAAGCGACATTTATGGCAATGTATACAATCGTGGAAATAAACATACCTTGAGCCCATCATCTGGATGAGCCTTTAAAACCCACACCGAAAAATCAAAGATTAGCTTTAAGTGTTCTCGACCTGGAAAAAAACATTGAGTTGATTTACATATTGATTTACATGTTCGTGTGAATGTAAAAACACATGGCATTCGAGGCCTCCACTGTTCTGAAGTGACGACTTTTTTTACCAATTACACCACATAAGATCTCTGCTCATCCCATCAAAATGATATTAGGCCATTACATTTACGGCACGGCTAGTCCATACCATGAGTAATTCCCAGTCATAAGAAAATAGCTCTACTAACCAAGTCGCTGTAAATACTGCACTGTTTTCTGGTGTCCTTTCAGCGGTCCACTAGCTTTCTGAGCTTGTCTTAGGAGTAAATCAAGAGCTGGAGATTTAGAATGAAATACAAAACATAAAAATTAGGAGTCTGATAAAAGCTACAGAATCAAGGTACACATCTGCACAAATTTATATAGTGAGGGGAGGGGGGATCATAGCTGGAGGCGGCCTGCAGGTACTAGCGTAGGGAGTGACCATGGAGGGGGGCATGGGGGCACCCTACACTCTTGGCTGCAGGGTTAAAATTCCACTCTGCGCCCCCAACTAGTAGCATAAATTCAAACTACATAAAGCTGAACCCAAATTTTCAGTACTGCACTTTACTGTGTGTATTGTTTTATCAAAATGACAGTCGAGCAAATAAAAGGGCCCGTCTCTGGTGCTCATGCCCTCTTGTGTTTGACGACCTTTTTTTCAGAATTTTAACCGAAAATCAAAGAAATAATGCAATTATTCAACTGTATTCCAAAGTTTAAAGTAAATGTTAAAGCTCAAAACTTTCAGTAAAACTTGTGCATTCTTTTCTTACCTTTCTTGTGGAGTCCTTTAGTCTGATATAAAACGACAAGCTCTTTGTATTTTTTGTACTTCATTAGCACTCGCTCACTTTCTTCCACGTGACAACTGTTATCTTTTAGCCTCAATAATGAAGAAACTAAAGCATCATTCGTCTGCAACCAACAACAGTGAAAATGGGTAAATTTTTGGCTAGTCGCTCGCTGATTGTATGATATGGCCAGTCGAGGTGTGCGCTTCTCGCTACATAAAGGAGGGTGGACCACCGGAAGTTACACATCGCCTATGGTATTTAATTGTGATAAACAAGTCTATCACTCACATTCAATAGGACTCGAAGAGTTAGTATTTGTTTGCTCTATATCCATATACCCATGCACTAGTAGTATGCTGCAACAAGTCTATCACTCGCATTCAATAGGACTCGAAGAGTTAGTATTTGTGTGCTCTATATCCATATAACCATGAACTGGTAGTATGCTGCAACAAGTCTATCACTCGCATTCAATAGGACTCGAAGAGTTAGTATTTGTGTGCTCTATATCCATATACCTATGCATTAGTAGTATGCTGCAACAAGTCTATCACTCACATCCAATA